TGCCCTCAGAGTCGGATTGAAGCCAATACATAGGAGGGAAAACACCTCCTCATGAAGGACGCTATGTTTCATCCAAGGAACCACTTTCTAGCAAGTGCACTACATGATTAAACCAGGCCCAATACAGAAACCAATCCACTCTGCAAGTTAAGAAACAAAACAGTAACAAAGTTACTGATAATGCATAATGCAGATCAGTTCGTTCATGTTGTACTCGCAACCGTTGTCTGAGAGATCTTCCGCCACGCAGGCAACCCCACAGAAGTGCAGCCTTGTGCCTAGCGATTAAAGGCAACAAGGTTGCAAGCCGCGACTTCTTTCTACTTCCCCTGCAAAACCACATCCCCACCAACCAGTCGAATGCGGTGCTCGAAGGAAGAAACCACTTACCTATTGCCACCAAGCAGCTACAAATTCTTCCACCACTCCCTCCCAACATGACCACGCATACACAATAGCACGCCGCACACCAGCAGCACCACTAACACCCTAGTGGACACCTCACCGATGCTCCTTACATCGTCACCCAACGTGAGTCAAGTGTAACTGTCGGTACATCTAAACTGTAATGCACTGTGCATGTAAACTGTGTAGGATTTTGTGCTGGCTCAGAGTCTGGTTGTGCTAGCAGCACTGGGACAGATGCTTCCGCCCATCAGACGAACGAGACTGAAAGGCTCATCCTCTTAACCACAAGAAAGCGTAACAAGCCAAAAAGTGCGAGTCAGTTCCCTTTCTATCACCATGCTGCTGCTCTTGGCAGCTCTCAGGTTAACGAGATTTCATTTCAGTCATCAGAGATGGTTGGCGAAACATAGGTTTGGAAACCCATTTCTGACACCTCTAAGCAACCAATTCTGAAGCTGCACTTCCGCTTAGAAGTATCCGAGTGGGAAGGCACAAGAGGCTGATATCAGCAACGAGACTGAAGAGCCCTAGGCACCTGCAAGTGTAGCGGGGTGTTAGTGCGATGGCTGCTATCCAAACACCGAAGTGCCATTTGTAGCCCTCGAGTGGAGCCCCGCCACACACATAGCGCCGCATTGTAACGGCATACACAATGAACTAACGGAAACATGCATAAAAACACTGTGGGTGTCTATGAAGGCGTCTACGCAGACGCCCGTTCCTACATTGACCTCACCGCTACACGAATCAAGATACGCGTTAAGAAGACAAAAAAAGTCGAGTTCTCAAGTGCGGGTTTGCAGCGGAAGGCTGGCTGTGGTAGTGCATTGTACAATCCGCACAAGTTTATCTGCGGTACCAGTATTTCTTGAAACTGAAGTACAACTGCATAATACCGCGATCGAATACGTTGCGAAATCCTCTAAATCTCTCTAAATGCCATTCGCGGTTCAAAACCTTGAATGCAACATCTTCATAAGGCGGACCCGCATGGAAGCGCACGATTATGGTATCCGGGGTGTCTGAAGGCTCAAGAGTCCACGTGGGGGTTTTCGTCTTGTCGATCAAATCCGGATAGAAGATGTTGAATTTATAGCCTTGCACGATCTTGGGAGGAGGGTTGTCGTGGTCGTAATGTGTCTGGTTGTACTTGTTCCAGAAGTAACAGGTGCGCACACGATTGAAAAAACGCGGCTTCCTGGGACGGTACTTTTCTTCCCAGCCGTAGTGCTGCGCACATAAACGGGCAGTGAAGACATATCGGCATATATCACAACACGTCACAACAAACAAATAAACAAATGATGTACCCTTGCATTTTTGCTCGCTACGGAACCATACGAAGGCTAACAAGTGCACCATTTTTCATGATCCAGTGAGTGCTCGGGCCCCTGATTCCCAAACGCAAAGATAAAAACTGGTAGACAAGCACCTGTTTCAGTTTCATTTCTGATGAGGCGGCAAGGACTTCTTCGTCCGGGCTTGCATTTTTCTGCTCCTTGCGCACAAAGTCCTCGTATCTGGAGGTGAAAAAACACACATATTATAATACAGGGAAAAGAATTCAAAGTCCAGTACATAGAGGATATGATCACTCATACAAAAGTGGCGAAGTGCCGAATACTATATTGCCTATATACGTCCACCAAATGCAGAGATGCGAAACGGGCACTTCACTTACGTCACGATCTTAGCAGCAGGATCTAAAATTTCGTCGTCGTCCTCCTCCTCGGGTGTCGTTTTTTCCTTGTCCAAACCCAGCTGAATCAGCCGTCTTTCGCGCTCGCGGTGCTTGGCAATTCTTCGTTCTGCCATTCGCTGTTCAAGCTCCTCATCGGGGTGTAAGATGTTAGTTTCCGTGCGAAATTCGTCAAAGGGATACAGCACAGGCGAATATGGGCCCCTCGGCTTGGGTGCCTCGGCCTCATCTTCGTACGGTTCGAGTTCGGGAGAGTAGCTCCCGTCAGCCCCCGGGTTTATCTCCTTCTCTACTGCGCGAGCCATGCGTTTCGCCTGCTCCTGCATTTGCTGAATTTTCTGCTGCTCGCGCGCCTCCTCCTCGGTAGCCAACAGGTCATCCGTGAGCCCCGATTCTGCTGCCCGCGCCTTCAGCAGCTCCGCCTCTGCCTCTGCGCGCTCGCACTTCAGCTGATGGTCGAGCTCTGCTGCCTTTTGTTGTATTCTCTGGTGGTACACCAAGCAGACGGCTCTCGCCTGCACACAACAACCGTCTTCCGCAGCCATCGTATGCATGCATGCGCAGACACACGAGAGCCCCACCACGCAATATACGCCAAAGGTAGAGAACATGTACGTTAACATAGAAGCAGACTGACGAGGACAATGGCAACGACGCCACTGTGTCCTGGGCTATGTGCGCATGCAAAAGTTTGGTTTTTATTTGTGATTAATTACCCTGAACAAGGGGATCTTCTGGAGGATGGCCTCCCAGTAAGCTGAATCAACATCTTCTTCTGTTTCGAGTTTAACTTTGATGCTGTCTTTAAGAGCGTCAAGCTCTTGTGGTGTTTTCCCACTAAGTATCGCGGTGATATCGGAGGTTACTCCTACAGCAATACCAGAGTCTGCATCACGTACATCTCCTACGGAGGTGTTGTTGGCTAAGATAGCGGCAGCCTGTGCGGCAGCATCAGCTGAGGAATTTTTCCGTAGCTCCTCTAGAACTTTCCTCTTTCGCTCCGCTTTCTCTAATGCGTCTTTTGTTAATACCAACAATGCTTGCCAGAAGTCCTGGTAATCCTTATCCACCGCCGTCGTGTCCACACCAATGTGCAGCTTCACGTCAGCAAGCATCTCCTCGATCATCTGCACCGACATCGCTGCAGCAGCAGCACAAGCACCAAACACACGACAAACCATGTAAGACAAAACAACTACACACGAAACGTGCACATTTATTACACAGCATGGCCCCAAGAAGAACGGCAGCTGAAAGACTGTTAATGCCTCCACGCAACTTCAGCATTCACAGGATCAAAATAAGCACAGTTAGTTAAGAACAGTGACCCGATGCTCCCTCGAAAATACCCTATTGCTGTGTACAGAAAGCTTACGCTCTTTGTTGAAGCAATCAAAGACTTCATGGGGAGGCACCGGCAGAACAGCGACTTTTTCGAATCTTTCTCCATTAAGCATACGTAACCCTTTGACAATAAAGTCAATAGGTTGTTCTCTATTTTGTTCAGCTCTAATTTCTGTTTTACGAATATGCATTTGTCTATGAAATACTTCTTCCTTCTCAAAATAATCCTGAAAATGTTCACGTTCTTTCTCGCGTTGCAGCTCCTCTCGCTGTGCCTGCATCAGCTGCTCCTCCGCCTCGCGTTCTTCACGTCGTTTCTTCACATTTTTAATTTCTTGCTGCAAATATACAGCAGCAGCAGCACAGCTAAACCTTCCACTGATGCAGATACTTTCACAGAAACAGGATCTAATAGCCACGGGTAGTTCGGGCTGTGTGGTGCCGAGGGGTATAGAAAACTTACCACTTTGCTGACAGATGTAGTAAGCAATGCATTAACAGTAGTAGCATGCTTCTTTCCTGCTGCCTGCAGCAGCAAATTTTTCTTCTTCCAAACAAATGGCTCGGCCAACAGACGATCACCGAAGGGGTTATTGTCATTGCTGTAGCCAAAGTGTTCGCTCAGCAGCTTCTTTCTCTCCGCCTATATCATACAAACCCTCCACATAAGCAACAAAACCCTAAACCCTAAACCCTAATCCAATATGTGGCACCTTAAAACAACCCTTGCTATCACCATCAACACAACAGGGGCCACGAACAGCCCCCTGTACCAGTCTTAAGTCATAAACCCTCTTATCAATGAAGACGTACTCGCAGCTCTTGAACTGTAACGGGCTTGGCAGGTCTTGGTGCACTGGAAATTGTCGGTGCTGGTCGTGATGAGGCCCTGAACGCAGCAGCAGAACACCAAGAAGACAACAGATAGAGGAGAAATACAAATCACGATGGAAGCACCATTGCGAGTGCGCATTAAAGCAGGTACTGATGCATATATGCACATATGGAGGCACGCTTGCATGTCGGGCAAGGAAGACAGGAAATAGGCAAGAAAGACGTACCCATACTTGCCTCCCTGACTCGCAGAGCCATTGCCTCTGCCTCCATCGCTCTCACTTGAGGTGCTATCGCGGCGCCTCTTCCCCATTTTCTCCTCACTTTACTGACGTTTTCCTACTATTTATAAACAAATACTTCAATATGAACAAATTTAAGGTTAGGGGGAGTTCACATGCCCCAAACTAATGCGCCACAACGCCGCCGCCCCCTCGCAGCTGCCTCCGCGCCAGCAGGAAAAGAGATCTAAAGGAGCGAATGCGCTTATTTCAATAAAAAAGTGAATGTAACAAAAAGCAAACAAAAGATTCTAAACCCTAAACCCCAGACCCCAAACCCTCAAACGGTGAGGGCCCCGGCGATCTGGGGTTTGCAGCGACGGACCCTCGTCAAATAGCACCCCCGAAGCTGATCAACAGCAGAATGCGAATAGAAATAAATATCGTATTCAGTTGTATAAACTTACAACGAAAACACGGAACCCACGGTCCCAAGACCCGCGCCCCCGCTGCAGCAACAGCAGGAGCAGCTACTACACCTGCGCCGTGCATGCACACGGCGCGCATGCATGCACACCCTTGGGGCCTTCTTCCGTGCAGAACTCTGTGGGAAGACGTTACACAGCCAAAACAAATGTTTATGCTGGTGCCTGCAGTGCAGCTACTGCAGCAGCACCACAGGACCTCAGTTTTTGGCCTAAAGTAAAGGCGAATCAGCAGCTGCTGCCGTAACAGATCACCAACCACATGAGAGCTTGTTGCACCGTAGCAGAAAGATAGCTGCTAAGAGCCCCTCGTGACGTTTCAGGTAGACAAGTATCAACATCTTCTGCTAGTTTAGGGGTCACTCTGACGAGTGAAGAACAGCAATAGAAATAGCCAGCCCCAGCTAACGGATGTATGCATCACCACTGCCGCCATCTTTGGGGTGAACAGACAGTTACCGCAGACAAATGAGCAAGCCATGTTGTTGTTAGTGTCTAGCGGCTGCTGCTGCTGTAAGCAGCGCCAGAGGGGCTTCCTCAATAGGTAGAGGAGGGACGGGGGAATCTACCTAATACAAAAAGGTGAACTTTGTGCCTTGGTCACTGCCGTTTGTAAGGCAATGCCTTTATTGCTCTCTGTGTGCAAGAGAGGGGGATAAGAATGTAGCGCTAAATAAGACAAGCAGTTCATTAATTATACTACGGATACTGTTGAACTACTAAAGGGAGAGCTGTAGGTAAGTTGAAATAAGACAAGTAATTAATTAATTATACTAATAATAATAATGTTAATAAGTAGCATAAGCCTAAGTCAAGAAATACAGCAGCAAAAAGGAAGCTGAAGAACTTATGGAGGCCGCTCTTGCGGCCTTCGTTACAAACGAGCAGCTGCTGGGGCTGCATGCAGGTCGGTGGTGCACTGTACATACACCGCAGGCTACAAATACAAAAGGAAAAACATCCTTCTTGCCATTATGGCACATCAGCACACCTATTGTCACGCAACTCGCCACCACCAGCCTATATATACTGTGCTGCTGCTGCTTGCATGCGGCAACAGCAGATCAGCACATGCTGGCTGATGAGGGTTTAGAGTCTAAGTTCCTTACCCACGGCTGCCTCCTCCTGCATGCACAACTTTACGTGCAACAGCAGCAAGGGGGCAGCAGGCAGCAAGAGCATCCACAGACGGTTGTGTGTTCGCAGCGACATCGCCACATACATGCACTGACATCATCCCGTATTCTTTAGCTGCTGCTGCTGCTGCACGAGACTCGGCAGCAGCAGCAGCAGCAGCAGCGACAGTCATCATCGCATGCCAAATAGTTGGGCCCCCCGCTAAGGGACCATCATAAGGGTCCTCTATATCTTTGACCGTCACACCGCAGTGGCAGCTCTGCTGCTGCAGACGGTGCAGCGCCTGGTGTCTGTACATCTCGCGACTTGCTGCAGGCATTGAAGGTAGCTAACGGAGGGAGACCTCATCATGCCATAGGGCGAAGGTGTATATAAGGGTGTATATAGAAATACAACAAATGGGTTGGGGGCCCCCCGCTTGGGTACCCCTGTAGGGGACCCTCTTGAACCCCCATTGTGGGGGCCCCCCTTCATGATCTTGTATTGTTGGGGTCCATATATATTAGCGGAGGGTGGGGGGCCCCCACTGGGGGGCCCCCCGAGTTCGTCAGGTAAGAGAGGAGAAGGAGCCTGCAGGAAGGTCGTTTTCGCTGTCTTTGTGGCGCCTGCAAGTAATCCCTCTTCCTGTAGTCCAAAACAATTCCCAAGCTGCTGCATGCTGCAGTTGTTGCTATTATTGTTACTGCTGCAGTTACTGCTGCAGTTGCTGCTGCTGCTGCTGCTGCTGCTGCAGTTGCATGCTTATAGCTTTTCGTAACGGGTTAAGACGAGCGCAGCGTTGTGACCACCGAAGCCCAAAGTATCGGTAAGTACAGCCTGCAGTAACACAGCAACCCCACCACCACCAACAGATATCCCTCTCCCGCTGCTGCTGCTGCTACTGCTGCTGCTACTGCTGCTGCTGGTGCTGCTGTTATTAGGGTAGAGGAGGGGCCTACTTTTGGGGGTTCCTGCATCTGTACAGCCTTATTGGGTACATAATTAAGGTCACATTCAGGGTCAGGTGTTGTATAATTTAGGGTTGGTGGTACACTCCCTGTTTGCAACACTTTTGCTGCTACTACTGTCTCTATCCCTGCTGTACCACCAAGACAATGTCCTGTCATTGCCTGCAACATAGCAGCAAGAAAGCAAACACCAAAAAAGGAAGGGATACAGCAGCAGCAGCAGCAGCAGCAACAGCAGCACTAGCGCGCACTGCAGTAGCAACACCACCGTCAATTCTTGCAACAATAGTAGCATCATCTTACACAACGAAATCGCCCTCTGTCCTCAGCAGCAGCAGCAGCAACAACAACAGCAGCAGCAACAACAACAACAACAACAGCAGCAGCAGCAGCAGAGTCTTGCTATCTTACCTTAGTAGAAGAAATAAGTAATTTTTGTGCATGAGGACCA